AATTATATAATCTGTCCGGTTACCAATGTCAAATGATATTAATACATTACATACAGCATAAATTTCGGTTTGTACATTTTAATAAAATATGACCTTTCTGTTCTAAGAGATCAATATGTACTTCGAGTTTGCCCCTACCACGTACATTCATCTCAATGGGCTCTCAGTGTTATCATTTTGTTTTCTATATTCGCTGTTAAGATCTGTAGCGGTTCATTTGATGGTTAAGTTGTTTTATAGAATTTCCGGTATATCTTTCACGACACCTAAGTGACCTAAGTGAAATCATGCAATAAATGATATATTTGGTTTTGCAATTCATTGGTTGTTTTACTGGAAATACCTCATTATTAGTTATCTGAAATGGGGACCCTCCATCAATATAATTACAAGTAAAACAATCGTTGCATTGTGTAACAGTGTGTGTTTGCTGATGAGAAGAGAATTTTGTCCAAGAGACTAAAGTTCTAAGTCTTGATGGCTGTCTGAGACTGATTATGATTCTTGAATTTTTCATAGTATTTTTTATTCTGTCACGAAACTGTTTTTAGACAATAGATTTTCCATCCTCTTGAACTGGATTATTTGTAGTGACTAGCGGTAATTCAAAATTATTCTTAGGAATAATGGCTTTTGGCTCGCTTAATTTGGCTTGCTCTAAATTGCTCTAAATCTCTCTCCGTAACTTTGTTTACTAAGAAAAGCTTTCAGTTCCGCTAGTCTTCTAAGTTTTGTTTTAGCATTTGAAACTATTGTGCAGACACTTCGCGCAAGACCATAGGATATTTCGTTCAAGAAATCAAGATATTGATGAGTATCGGAAGGTTTATAATAAAAAAAGGTCAGTTTCAATTTGACCATTACCTGACAATATAACAGTCACATTCAGACAATGCAAAGACAATTCACCTTTTTTAAATTGTGAATTGTATACTGGGGTCCTATGAGTATAATTCATAAAGGATCTTGATTTGGTGATTCGTTTTGTTTCAAGATCACGAAGGAAATGAAATGAAATGATATGGGGTTTAACGTGCTACTGTTCTGCTCCTATACTGTGCTAACGAAGACGGGCATACGCCACACAGTGTGCTGTGAGGGAAATTTTGCCCGGGCAGCAGCCCTATGGCCCACTCTTATTATATCCGAACGATTAGACAGCTGACCTTGTCAGGCTCTCCGTCCTGCACCACTAAGAAGGGGGAAACCACGTCGGAAAATCCCGATAAACTTTCTCGGCCAATGCAGGGATCGAACATGCGACCTCCAGGCTAGCGAGCCAGCGTCTTACCCACTTACCACGGTGGCCCCCAGATCACGAAGCCATCGTACAACCATCTTTGTTAGATGTTACAAGTTCTGTGCCAGATTTAATATTTATCTAATGATACTATAGATCTCTTCTAACTATCCAAGCGTGAGCGTAGCATACGCCGGGACGACTTTTGTTCCAGTAGCCATACGAATAAATTTACAACAATATGTAATTGAGATTATAAAAATATATAAACATGTAACTCACTTTGGACGACAATGTGAATTATCAGGATTATATACGAACATGACGACTTATTAAAATATAAAATACAAATAATAACAATGGATGAATAATGAAGAAGCTTCTTATCCCTTCATTGATTCTTTAAGCTTCATAAAAGTTTGTCCCTCAAACTAATAGAAATATTATGGCAAGAAAGGTGAATGTCGCCTGTGCGTAACGTTTTGGGTGTTAACTTACCTTTTCACGTAGACCAGACGGTGTTACTTTAGCGACCTGGGCGGTGACTTTTATCCGTATATTATGATAAAGAAAAACTGCGAGAGTTTTTATGAGTAAAGACTTATCACCTGTTTAAGTTTCAGTCTACACTAAACTCACTCAAAGAAATCTTTTTAGTATTATTTTATTGCGAATATGATACTCAAAGCTGTATAGTAGCCCAAAAATAACGATTCGTTGCCCGTATAGCACAAAGAAGACATTTTTAATTCTGTGATAAGCAAAACACACTTATCCCTTTTCATGACCACTTAAAATAAAAGGAAACTTCTGCGTTATATAGATATAAATTCTGTTTAACTTTGTTTAAATATACACTTCCGCACGTGTATTTTAAATTTAAATTTAAAGCATGTTTCCGAAGCAACAACTGCTAGTTTTATAACATCTAGATTTATGGCATTAAAGCGAGATCAAGCTTTCTGTTGAAGATGCAGTTAAAGATGCATTATCTAAGAACTACAGATGTATTATTTGAGTGCTAAATATGCCGAATGTAGGTCTTTATTTTGGCTTCAAATATACATAAACTATTATTTAGACAGTTATTCACATGGCAAGCTTATAATCAACCCTCTAGAGTTTCGGGTGACCAAGATTTAAATGGATTGAAACACGACTGCCATTTAATAATTCAATTTAGAAATGGTGAATCGAGACTAAGTCTCGATTACGAAGTACTATTGCTACGATAATAAACAATCTATGTTGGATCTTGTCAAAACACCGACAACCTCGGTCAGAATAAAGTAATTTTAATGAACTTTTCAATATATTCATGTATCTTTAAAGAGGCATTATGTAAGAGCTAATGTAGATCATCTTTCGCTTGTGGACGCAGTGGTTCATTGAGAATGCGTCTGGTACGCTAACCAATAGATATCGGATTTGCTCCCGTTTCTCAAGATTTTCCGGTGTGGTCTCCTCGTGTCAGTGATGCAGGACGGGGGGGGGGGGGTGCAAAGAACAGCGTCTAGTCGTTCGGATGGGACGAAACCCCCAGGTACACTTTGGCGAGCACTTGACAGTTGGAATTCGAAATAACAGTAGGTCGTAGTGCCGCTGTCTGGGCAAAAATTTTCCTCATAGCACACTGCATGACGAATGCGTCTTCATTAGTCATATTGGTGCTGAAAAGCTTTCACGGGTAATTAATTCGTCTCCTTCACCTTGGACACAAGTAAAATACTCAGCCCACAACATCAGCTAAACTTTATTCGTCGGACAGGATGTCTGTAAAAAATATGTACAAATTTGAAGTCCTCATCGTGATGACAATGACAGCTAAGGAATCTTACATCATGCGATACTGGCGAAGACTGACATGCAAAATGTAAAGCGAAGCATGTGTGATCAAACTTGAAAGATGTTCTGTCGCATTTTTTCTTTTGTCATAGCTCGCGGCAGAAAAGGTAAAGGTCGTTTTGTCTGTTTCAAACATAAGAAATCGCTGTTTTATCATTTTTAACAATAGTCAAGTCATAAAATGAAGCAAACATTGTCAGGTATCATAATAAAATTATTACTTGACTTTGAAGATGCATACTATGTCTGATAGCATTAGATTTTTCATACCCCGAGTCTGACCTAGATACTACGTTTTTTTTTGGATTTTCTTTTTTTTTTTTTACTTCTCTATTTAAAGTCCATTTGCACTTTGTCCTTTCAAATGTTACTTAGAAAACGCCTAAAACCAAACATTATTTTAAAAAAAAGGGGGTCACGGTGGCTAAGTGGGTAAGACGCTGGCTCGCTAGCCTGGAGGTCGGGTGTTCGATCCCTGCATTGGTTGAAAAATTTCATCCAGATTTTCCGGCGTGGTTCCCCCTTGTCAGTCATGCAGGACGGGGGGCCAGACAAGGACAGCTGTCTAGTCGTTCGGATGGGACGAAAAACCGAGGTCCCGTGTACACATTGGCGTCCACGTAAAAGATCCCTTGACAGCTGGAATTCGATATAAGAGAAGTTCGTAGTGCTGCTGTCCGGGCAAAATTTCTTTCATAGCACCCTGTATGGCGTATGCCCGTCTTCATTAGCCCAGTTCGGAGCAGAACAGTGGGATGTTAAATCGCATTTCATTTCATTTCTTTTTAAAAACGATACCTAAAGCCTAAAGACGCGTGTTTCACTCTTTGGGGTAATGAAGGTTGTGCCAAAGGAGAAGAGGGTGCGTGTGGGGGAAAGGGAGTATCAACAGTCTTGAGATGTTGAGATGGAGCCCCCCCCCCCCGCAAAAAAAAAAGGCTGAGGGCTATCTAGAATAAAGGGGGTTAAGGCCAGTATGGCCATCACAAAGGGCTTCAAAGGGCTAACACGAGGTTTTATTCTTTAGTTCCCATATTCTTCAAAACAGAACATCGTCGCAAATGTGTCAGATTTGAAACGTTAATGTGTTATGAATAGCTTTATAAGACTTATAGTATACAATGCATTATTAATGGTTCCAAAATAGGGTCCACAGACATCTTAGAGGTCGGTCAAAACATTTTGGAAGTAGAGAGGTTAAAAGATTCGTGAGGTCAAGTAAAAGTGATATATCAATGAATTTCAGTAGCTGTTATGAGAGCCACCATGGGGTCTTTCAGTTGATCCATGATATGTTTATCAAAGATAAAAGTAGTTGCACGCGGCGTATGTCCTAAAGCAGGACGGGGGGGGGGGCTCCTTGGAAAAAGTTTGGAAACGACTGAATTAGACTACGGCAAAATGTCAGACAATCATGGGCATCGCTACACTTCGGATATATATATGTACAAAGTGTTAAGATTAAGATTGCTAAACGTGCCTCTCAACAGAAGTAGCCCCGCCCATCACGATTTTAGAACTATTTAATTCTAAAATTAAAACGGTTTGTTTAACATATTGTCGCAGATTTAACAAATGTCTAGATGTATGATATAATTATTCGTCAAAGATATACAAACAAATTTGAATTAGACCAAGCAAATACCACTGGGGTGGGAGCATGCGCGTCACAAACTTGTTTGTAGTATTTACTATCTATGAACAAATATCCCAACAACGGAACCAGTCCATATCGGAGATATGTGTGATCCAGATGACCGAGTTACCTGAAAACTCACCCAAGTCACTCGTCGACACATACACGCCACCTACCCTTTAATCAGAATTTCGAGCGATATTTTCTTCTAACCCGTAAGTTCCTTTAAAACCATTGATAAACGGTAATAATCATATTTGGATTTTCTTTTTTTTTCAGATATGCAACAATCTATCCATTTACCATCAACATCAATAGCACCGACTACTGTTACATTACGCAAGAGAAGAAGACCTTATTCGAAATTTCAAATCGCCGAATTAGAACGGGAGTATAATTCATCAACATATGTTTCAAAATCACGACGATGGGAATTGTCGCAATTGATCAACTTATCGGAACGACAGATCAAAATATGGTTCCAAAATCGCCGTATTAAAGCCAAAAAAATTATCAAGAGAGATGACGTCACTACAATTTCACACATGGGAATGCCACAGCCATCTTGAAATTTAATCGGCATACTTACAAAAAAATTGAACAATCGGACTAATTAAAGGGACGTTCCTGAAGCGCCCGTGATTTGGGTATAATTTCTGTGGTGTCTCTTTTATGCACCATCTTGCATAAAACGAAAGTAGCTACATATGACACTACAATTTCTTATCAATGAATGCCTTAACTATCTTGAAATTGAATCGATGTTTTTGTTAAAATATCAACAAAAAAAAACCAAGAAAAAACTTTTACCAAGACGGTTTAGGTGTCATTTGTATGATGTTCTTGCATCAAATATGATTCGAAGAGAAGCGCTGATGAATGCAACAAGAGGATTGAATGGCTATGAAATTCACCAAAATACAGTAACCTTATTCTGCTGGTTTGATGATGCTACCTTCGTTTCTGGTTTTTTTTATACATTTTATAAAAGGCCCGAATACGTTCAGGGAAATAAATTCTCGAAATAACAAACGTGAGAAACTCAATCCTTTCTTTAATCAAATTATTGTTTGAAATATTCAAGTACAAATTATGGCAATGTGTCTCGCAACTGCAATATCTCGTGTAGTGTGTCAATATTATGAAATCCCCAGCCCCACACAAAGATCCCCTCCATTATTTGTATTTGTATTTCTTCAATCGAAGCAGGACTCTTTGGTTGATTGTGATTGGTCGATGGACGACTCGCGGCGTATGAATATTTCCTTGGCATCAATAGTATTTATTAAGGTAACTAAAATTTATAATTAATCAATCTGCATAGATATTTTGTTCGGCAATGTCTATGAAAACCATAAACGACTGTCAAAATTGTGATAAGTATTATGATACAAGGTTGATATTTATCGGTTATTCAATGGCGATTTGAAAATGGTTGAATTCAACATCATAATTATTTAACCTTGGTCAAATCTCCAAAGAACAACCTTTGAGGTTTTAATAAGGCGTGTTTATCACATAATTGGAACATGGCAGACATATTCGATAATAAACTATTTGTTAAATGAACATTATTGCGCAATTAATATCAGAAGGAAGCGAATCACCGACAGAGAGGTTTTTTTTTTATTATTTAATTTTTTCTGTCAATAGCGTGATCAGCAATGAAAGATGTTTTTTAGATATTCTTATTCTACATATCATATCCAAAATTTAATTGATTACATAAATAAAATGACAAAATGGTCGCTATAGACCCCCCCCCCCCCCCAAAAAAAAGAAAAAAAATTAAATAAATAAAATAAAATCAAATAAAATAAAGTAAAATAAAACTCTCTTGTCGTCTGTGATTCAAAGGACCACATACACGTGCCTTTCTTCAGTACGAATACATACGTATGCTTTATACATCATTATTTGGAAATGTAGGGCCAGATTATCGAAGTTGTGTTCCATATTCCATTTATGATGAACAGATAGTAACAACAAATAATTATAGGACTAATGATGTCATTGTCCACCATTATCGTCTTTCATTTTAAAATATCCTTCTAATGTATCGTGGAGAGGTGGGTGGGGGTAACGCATGCGCGTTGGGTCATAAGGGGTGTGTTAAGTGGTGTGGTTTCGAATCCCTGCTTGTACATGACAAGGAGTAGGGTCGCCTGTACAGCACCTCGTGAGATTTCTCCGGGTCGTCAGGTTACCTCCCATCACTAAGGCCCCCTACCAATCTGATTAAAACACAGATTCTATTTCGTTTCGTTTTTAATAGTTCAAAATTTCGTTTTACTTGTCTTTACTACACTGGGATTTGGAAGAGTTGTTATATAACCCGCGTTCTCGATGATGTGAGGTGCATGGAACTGTGGGTAACCCACTAAAAACTTCAACGTTGAATGGTTAATCAAATATCTGACGGCATAGGACCAAACATCGCTCGTATGACCTCTGACGCTACCTTCCACTACAACCGGTCAGATCTTCATGTAGAAGAGGCCATCGAAAGTATAAAAAACGAACCGAAATATAGATCTGTATTATAATCAGATTGGCCCCCTACGCGCAAGTAAATTATTGAAATAAAATTGAACCATATGCGAGTCCAGACCAAGTTTGTGTTGAGTGGACGCCATTCATCTCCCTTTCTCTAATGTATCGCTCTAGATTTCTCCGTTTTCATTATCCCGGTTGGTTTAGAAAAGTAGAACGTTAAACCCCAATTCATTTCATTTCTCTAAATTTGTATTGTTATTTGAATATTTTTTTAACATACTTTTTTTTTGGTTATTGATTGATTTTGGGAAAATTACAGAAAAGTTTGCCTTGAATATTATACTGATTTATAAAATTTGATTATTATGAACGAATCTGACACATTTTAAGTTTGAAGTCGTTAATCTCGATCCATCATATTGAAGAAATAGATTGAAGAAAAAATTAAGATAACGAGCACTAGTGAGAGTATAAAACTATTAAAAATCATATCAGTCAGTTTGTTGTCGATTTTAACATGCTTTTTTGCTTGAAAAAAGGTAATTCGTATGACTACGCATGGTATTCCCTTAATATAATATTCCCTTGATATAGATCAATTTACTAAATTAATATTTAAAAAACCCAAAGAATATGTCAGGCTGTGAATACTGGCCCATTAATCTTTATCAAGTATTGTTCTTTATATATTTAAATTTTTGGGAGGGGGGGTTGGGGGCGGGGTAATAATATTGATTAGCACAAATAGCACACTAATGGTGTACAATGAATGTTATTATCATTGTTACATTAATTGTATATAATGTATGTAAATATTATTTCTCTGTAAATGTGAGTAAACACTGATGGTGTAATTTTTAAAATGATTTATTAAAATAAATGTGAAAAATAATAATGATATCCCTTATTCACGTCAGCAACATTAATACACGAACTCTGTTTACTCTGCAAAATAGCCGACATAGCTTGCCAGGACGGATGATCTTTTACCTGGAGACCTGGACGCTAATGTGTACACGGGTCCTCGGTTTTTTGTGCCATCCTAACTATCCTGGTCTGGCCCTCGATCCTGCACCTTTGACAACAGGAAACACCGTCAGAAAATTCTAAGGAACTTTCTCGGCCATCACCAGTGTCTTCCTCGCTAAACCACCCCGGCCCCAGAGAAAGTTGATCATGATAGTGCAGGCACTAACCGTTATAAAACATAGCCACATGTATAAGCTTGTAAGGAGGGGCTGGGTATGTTCCTGAAGCAACGCCAACGAGTTTTAAAAAATCTAACCCTTGCTACATTAGCCTGAAATTCCCGAACTTATAGTTACATTAACTCCCGTGAACAATAGCGTTGTCCAATCAGGGGTCGCGACACAAACACGCTCAAATCAAACATGGCAACCTCCACTGCAACCTTGATATTGAACGAGCCTTGAACTTTGCAAATCGATTATCACAGGTAGACATTTTAGCTAGAAAGCGCGCGACTTGTTAATCGCGGTGACATTTTCTATCTAGGAATCTGAGAGCCCCTCTCACCCCTCTGGGTCAGTAGCTAATCGAATTTAGTGACGAAATATGCAGGTTATTACGTGAAGGGTCGATCCCTGCATTGGCCGAGAAATTTCATCCAGATTTTTCCGGCGTGGTTCTCCCTTGTCAGTGATACAGGACAGAGGGCCTGGCAAGAACAGCTGTCTAGTCGTTTGGATGGGACGAAAAAGCGAGGTCCCGTGTACACATTGACGTGCACGTAAATGATCCCTTGACAGTTGGAATTCGATATAAGAGTAGGCCGCAGTGCCGCTGTCCGGGCAAAATTTCCCTCATAGCACACTATATGGCGTATGCCCGTCTTCATTAGCCCAGTTCGGAGCAGAACAGTAGGACGTTAAACCCCATTTCATTTCATTTCTTTTACGTGAAGGGCTTGATAAGTTGTACGGCGTTATAGCGAGATCAAGCATCCTGTTGAAGATGGGGGATGGATAAAGTAGCGATGGTTGTTTACACTGGAATAGAATTCCACCGTGGCCGAGAAGAGTCTTGGGAGTTTGTAAGCCCGATTCCCACATGTCCATGTATCACCACTGAGACTGATAATGAAAGTGTATTCATTCGCATGAATTACAAATTGTTAATGCACTGAAAATTGGGAATTTGAAGAATAAGTAAGTAGACTAGAGCTGCAGGGCCTAAAATAAGGTTAAATTCTCAGAGCACGGATTTAAGAGTCGACCGCCCGCGAGCGCCGCAGGCGCGAAACGCGCCGGCGGGTGGTCCTCCCCCAGAAAGTTTTGAAAATTGAGAGCTTGAAACCGGCATCTGTGGACTATTCTGGTGCAGTTTACATAGGAATTTATTTTGTCGCGAGCAGCTTTTTTCGCATGAAAACTAAGCACTAGGAAGACAACACATCACTTTCGTTACGAGTGAGCCAGGTGATCTGATCTGATCTGTGCAATTGACCACACCACAAGAACACAAGAAGAAACACCCAATTAGGGGTCAGGAGGCATCGCTGACTACACTTTTTTAGAGCACTACACCATTTTTCTGAGCACGGTTTTCTTATTTTCGAAGCACGGATTTTTCATTTCGAGGCACGTTCGTGCTCCAAGGCACGTTATTTTAGGCCCTGTAGAGCTGTACAGTGCTATAAATTTTATAATTTACGAATCTATAAAATGATCATCATGGATATTAGTATTGTCACATTACGCAAGGCTATACAGTTGTCCAAAGGGCAACCTATACGCTTCTTTAGGTATGTACAGTACTAGATGGTCATCATTAATATCAAGAATAAAACATTCCCCGCCACTTTTAGGCATTGATAACATTTCCCACCAATTTTAGGCATTATTCACACCGCCACCATGAAGCAAACCAGTTGTCCATAGGTATCCTTTTTAACCTCACCTGCCCATTGTGACTAATTAAATTGCTTGTCGATACAGATAAGAGTGAAGTATCCACTTTTAACCTAAGCAGAAAATGTTCATCACAAAACTTAGCAATCAAAGTAACCGTGCACCAAAACCTCGACCAATGAAATTACTCCTCACTCTACTTCCTCGGAACATAAATGAATGCAATAAAACGGGGTCGCCGTCTGCTACTACAAAGGGAGAGAGAGAGAAATGGGGTTTAACGTCCACTCGACACAAAGTAGGTAATTTCGGGACTAACACATGGTTCAATTTTATTTCAATAATTCGCTTGCGCGTAGGGGTCTTTAGCAGTGTCAGGAAACCGGAGGACCCGGAGAAAACCCACAAGGTTGGACAGGCGACCCTAATCCTTGCCACGCACAACCGGGGATTCGAAACCACGCCAGTTGACTCAATGACAGACGTTATGATACAGCGTGCACGTGCTAACCATTGACCATTCGGCCATCCACCACCCCCACCCCTACTACAAAGGAAATGAAATGAAGGCCCTACTCTCCTGCATTGCTCACTAGTTAGAGTTTTAGTGGTTGTTCAACCATCTCTTGTTTTGACATTGAACGTTGATCTTGACAACACGTATAAGACTTTCAGTGGACCCTGGTGGTTCTTTTGTGAAGTTTTGATACCTGTATTCGGCGTCTGCGGATGAGAGAACTCCTCACTACACAACAAAATGAGGCCCGTAGCTAGCCCAAAATTATTGGGGGGGGGGGGGGCTTCTGGGGGTGCCGAAGTACCTACACTTGACGCTGAAAATGATCGAAAAAATTTATTTTTGAGGTTGAATTTGAAATACTGGCGTATTATGATATTTTGGTATGAACATTAACGTAGCCTACGTATAATAATTTATGAGAAAACCGAAACGTTCGGAATCGGGTTAGAGTGCGGCTTGTTTGAAGTCATGGGCGCCCAACCAATCTTTTTCGGCATTATGCATGGCCCGACAATCATATATTGTCATTATAAGGCGCCCCACCAATCATGTTATTATGGGCGCACCTCCGGGATAAGGCACCCCAAAGATCAAACCGTTTTGGGCGCCCTATTCAATTGTGTTGTTAATCGTGTGGGTCATTATGATGAGGCGCCTCACATGAAGCCAAGTGACACAGGTTGGGCGCCCACCAATCTCGTCGTGGGCGCCCAACTAATATCACTCGGCTTTATGTGACGCCCATACTGATATGGTCGTTGGCTTCGTATTGCTAGGGGGGGTGGGGGGGGGGGCATCTGCGATACAGAACTGAGGATTCTATTAATTCAAATGTTGATTCAAACGTGAATAATCTTTTCTATGCGTGCAAGGGAAATAACTCCATAATACGTCACAGAAAATACCACAACAGGCTTGATTAACTTGTCAGAATTGATGATAGATGGTTATGCAAATTCTACATTTAGATTTACAGGTGGATGAATTATATACATGCATTATTATAATGAAAACACGTTTCAACAAATAAACCAATATAAGATAAGATTGATGTAATATGGCTTGATTTTGAGACAATCGTGTGAAAATGGGGTTTAATGTACTACTTTTACCCGGACAGCCGAGCTTAAAATTGAAAGTATATATTTTGGCTGAACTGTGGTGAATTGTAATATTATGTATTCATATCAGGTGATGCCGAGCTATAATAAATAACTGATTACTTAAAGCGTTTTTGTTTTTTTTTATTCAGGTTTTCTACATTAAAGGAGCTAAACCCCTTTCATTTAGGTTAAAACAAAGTGTTGAATTGGGTTAATCTGAATTGTTATTTATTTCAATTAGGTGATATTTGATAAGAGAGAGTGAGGAATAGGGTTTAAAGTCCACTATACACAAACTAGGTAATTTTGGGGTCAACATATGGTACAAAATATTTCACTTGTATGTTCTTTAGCCAGGGCAGGGACCCAGAGAAAACCCATAAGTTTGAACAGGCGACCATAATCCTCATCAGATGCAAAATTGGGATCGAAACCATGCAACTGGACTATAATGTCAGACATTATGACCTTAAATGCAAGTGTTAGACCACTTGATTTGACAAGTTTAAATCAATGCAGTCGAAGTTGGTTTGTTTACTAATTTTTGGCTTAAACTGTGGAACTGAAAACCAGTCATCAAAACTTTAAATGAAGACTGATACCAGTTTCACAAAACAGATCAACACCAAATTCAATATTTATTAAATAAACACTTTCGTATTTTACCTAAATCAAAGAGGTCAAGCCATTTTAAACCATTATAGATAAGACCATATAAAAAAATATTCTGGTTCTCAGATACTCCTGCAGCCTGTTTTATTTAAACTGGGCTAATGAAAACAGGTATACGCCATACAATGTTACAATGTGCTACGAGGGAAATTTTCCCCGGGCAGAGACGCTATGGCCTACTCTTATATTCAAATCCAACTGCCAAGGGATATTTTACATGCAAGCCAATGTTTACACAGGACCACGGTTTTTCGTGCCATCCGAACGACTAGACAGCTATCCTTGTCAGGCCATCTATCCTGCACCACTTACAAGGGGGAAACCATGTCGGAAAATGTTTTAATTCAAAAAATAAAAACAATCTCATTAATTACCTCATGTAAATATTGTCGTCCGTTTACAGGAAGAAACTCTATAAAAAAAACTTTTGAAGTGTATACAACCCTGATAAATGTTATTCACAATCAAAAATGATAACTGGATAATCATACATTCCTATAAACAACATGATGAAATACCTTCAAATATGATGTTTGTGATAAGTCGTTTAGCCCAGTTATCCTTTAACAAAATAAAAACACAATAACAAAAACCTCCCATATCAGATTTTTTTGAACGATTGTCTAAGAACCAAAATATTTTTATGAAAGGCCTAAGACACTAACACCACAATTATAGATAATGATAATAATACATGAGTAGAAGAGATAAGTTATTTTACATGTATGTACACAATGACTTTCTTACTAGACTCTTTAATATTCAACATTTTCTATCTCCACATAATTTTATGATTAATTTTGATAATGTACATCAATAAAAAATGAATGGAAATCAGATCACTTTAATAATGACCATTTTAACTGTTCTTTAGCGGATTGAAATACCTGAAAATAGAAAAGAAAAACATTGTAAATATACTTGTAATATAACATAGTAGGTTAAACGTATAAAAGGAGCAAATGTTTCATTCCATTTACCTGTTGACATACACATAAACTTCTGAAACTTTAAGGAGGGAACAAATATAGGTAAGGGTGGCATTCACAGTCCAACATGTTATTTCAATTGTCATGCTTAGAAGCAAATCAAAATTTAATATTGAGTGTCAAATACTTTAAAGCCATTGATCATCATTTTATAATATTGTGAAATTTGAAGTTCTGTCAGTCCAGAAATGGTCGGTTTCCTCTGTCGATGATATAAGCCAGTGGCACCCGCTAGTAATATCTTTTTATGGGTCTCTTTTTAATCTGACGGAATCCAAGTCTATAGGTTATCTTTCGTTGTTATTTTGGATATATTCTTAATCAAATGTTAGATAAACAATGAGTACATTTTAGCATGGATCAAGTCTTGAAAAGTTATATATTATCCGAAAAATGCAAATGACAATGGTATGTAGTTTTAATTCTAAAATATTAATATTAATACAAAACCATGAAGCAATTCACTTGAGAAATCAAAATGGATATCAGAGTACAGTCATTACAGTCTGATAACTATTCTTTCCAAATATATGCATCATTGTTTTAAAATCTGTCTCCGAGGTATAAATGATTAATCTTCATAAAAAAAATACCACAAAATATGATAATATTTAATCACACTAGCTAAACCATGGCATTTATTACCTAATATATCAATATATTCTACAATGTCTAATATCACAAATAAATTTAAACTGAATAATAGGGTACCATACAGGTTTTTTTTTTTTTTTTTTTTAAAGCACCGAATACTGGGTTCACACGCCACATCCTATTGTTTATGGGAATGTTGAAAATCTTTTATATACAAAACACATACAGTGGGATTATAACTTGCATAGTGATTTGTACCACCAAGCATTAAAAAAAAAAAAAGAGACATTTCGAGGAGAACAAAAATACTGCATTGAGCATCCACAATTTTAAAGATAAGAAAACAAGTTTAGGAAAGCAAAACGGCTTCATTTCTTAGCAAGTCTTTGATTCTCTTTTCACCAGAACATCAACAAAATTAATGAACATCCTACTTTTCTGCACCAACTGGGCTAAATCGAGACAAGCATATGCCATACAGAGTGCTATACAGGAATTTGATCCAAGCAGCAATTGAATTCCAACTATCAAGGGTTCTTTTACGTAAACACCAAATTGTACCTCGGTTTATCGTATCATCTGAATGACTAGACATTTTCAGGCTAACATATCAATTTTGATACAGCATACAGCACACAAAGGAAAAACTTTACCCTTGCCTCAGTGTTTCTGTCTAATCTTATTCAAATTGCAACTGCCAAGGGATCTTTTACTGATTAGTTTGTATACTTTTCAATGATCAATCTTATAATATGTCAGTTATGTCTCATGATTGTTCAAATGAGTACTAATACCAATAGAATTACCCATTGATATGTTTACAAGTATATAAAGAGACAATTAGCTCAAGATTAACCTGAGAATGAAAACAAGTGACAACATACATTTAGGCCTACCCAGCAACAATTATTTTTTGTGGAAATGTCCCGTTACACCCAAGCTTGGATAAGAACCAGCAAGAGTAATATATACATAAAAAAATGAAAAACAACCTTATTTTCATCCATCCAAAGTTATATGTTTCCCAATATTTGACATACCTTTCAACCCTCTCTGATTAAGCAATTATAAATAAGAATTTAAAAGAAAAAATGTCAAAAAGTAAAGATGATCTAGAAAATTTAAGGATAGGTACAAAAGAACACATGTGTGACACATCAACATGAATTGACAGATTGTCATAATGTGTCTCAACCTGGCATAATATGTTTATATAAATGAGCGTAAGAACTGCACAGAAAGTAGTAACATTACAGATGTGTTGAGAATGTACTCTCTGATTCTTACAACCCTTCCAATTTTCTCTCCCATATAAATTTTATAGCCTTCAAACATTTACATAAATTATGTTGAATGATTTATGATTTAACAAATATTTTTTATAATCATACAAAATATGGCTTTAAACTTGTAAGTTTTTTTTTAACAGATGATTTATGAATACTGCATAATGAGGATACATAGATTCATAATATAATTGTTAAAAGTGAGCATATAGAGAGAAGAGAGTAGGGGTGTAGTAGTAGGTGCTCATGTGAACTTTATATTATGCAATGCTTGATATAATAATCGTCTAAACATTTTCTTACAGTAATTGTCTAAACATTTTCTTGCAGTAATTGTCTAAACATTTTCTTGCAGTAATTGTCTAAACATTTTCTTACAGTAATTGTCTAAACATTCTTTTAAAAAAAACTTGTTAGTTACCTAAACAGAAAATCACATAAACCGACAATTTTCTTTTTACTCAGTCCTACGTCGATAGAATAGAGCCCTAGTAGTGATATAGTATTTGTAACATAAATCATAACATAAATTGAGACAAAGGTTTACCATTTGCGTCCAAATTATTTCTCCACAAACCACAATTAACTTATAATCTTAACACTACTAGTGTACACAACTACTAACATCTTCACAATATCATGTTTTTATAACACACATCAGATACATTGACTGTGTTAGCCGACAGACATGTGAAACTTTATAATCAAAACTGTCACATGGGTCGTTAAAAATCTATTTGGCCCTGACGTAATGCTGTCACATGGATCCTATAATGGAACATAACCTCTTTCTTTTCAGTAAGAGACAATGCTTTGGTCCATGGCACAATACTTTGAATGAATTTTTCACATAGGAATGATAAATTACAGTGAATGTAACATAGAACTACACTTACCAATAAGAGTGGGGTAATTAGTGGGATATCAGTTCAGCTATAACCCCGTTTACATTACAAATTTTAAGCGTACCAGGCACGGTACCAGGTACGGCACGCTTCGATGTTTTTGTAGTGTAAACGGGTCAAATGTAAGCGTGCCACGCCTGGTATGGTGCCAATCTGGCCCACTGAAGTGAGGCGGTCTCGGAACGGTACCAGGACCGGCTCGCTTTAAATTTTCGTAGTGTAAACGCTAACCGGTCTGAGCACTGATTACTGCGCATGCACCAAATGAACCATGACCTCCCCCCCCCCCTGCAAACTTTGACAGCTCTGTCATCAGTTCTGTCAAAATGGCTGCTCGAACTAAATCAACCATCACAGTTGTTTTCATCTGGGTAATTTGTATAGTGACTGAAATTAACTTTTCTGTGAAGAGTTCCACATTTAGCGTGCTTGGCACGGTTCTGAGACCGGTTATTTTAGAGTAATGTAAACGGGTCAGTTTCTTGAAATTTATCACGTTCTGGTACCGTGTCCAGAAAGGCACGCTCATCGTGGCCAAGTGTAAACGGGGCTCTAGATGTTTCATATGACTGATCATTCAATGCGCAGGCAGGGTATTTAAATGAAGCTTTATATCAAGTTTTAACAAAATCAGTCACTATAGTTATTGCATTTCAAATAATCAATCAATCAATCAGATTGCAGATGGCATTAATGTTACGATTAATAATACATGTAATTGCATGTCCAAATTTAGTTAATATCTTCACAACAGAATTCGCAAAGAGAATTGCAGTATGCTATTCAGTTTTATCTAAATTCTTTCCCTAGAAAGTAATCACCATGTTTCAAACAATTAACAAATCTGGTTGCAGTACATTAAATATGTGCAGATGGCATTGATGTTTGAATGTTGGGTAAGTGACTTTGATCGTAAAGAAATATTTATAGCTTTAACAAACAACCTTAAACTCACTCAATTCGCACAAATCCGTCAAACATATTTTGAAGAAGCCTTCACAATAATATATATCTATATACAAACCAGAAAATTTGTAATAGTAATTGATAGACAAATTTGTCTCAAAATATGCACACTATCAAATGTGAACATGCCTTATTTTATTTACCAATCACCTGCGAAAATGACAGCGGCTCTTTATTTATATCAATATATTTTTAAAATCAATGTCGGCCAACATAGTCAAAGTATCAGGAATCAAGCCATTGGGAAAATGCACAATAATAGCAAGAGAAAGAAGAAGAATAAACAGAGAGAGATGTGACAATCCTTACAGGTATATAAATAACTCCTCAAAAATTTACATAACAAGACAAAATGATAAAAATAAACACACACACACATACATGTAAAAGCTCAGTTCTTTCTCCCAAAATGAATATTTACAAATGACACAAGTATTCTTTAACTACAATATATATATATCTATATATATCATAGAAAGGGGTGGGGGAAGAAGGCATCCACCTCAGTCTGCTACAAAGACCTTTATTCCATAGCCAGTTCAGACAACAATTTATCTGTAAAGGAACCAGGGCATCCTCCGAATAAACTTACCTCAAGTTTACGACTTAATTGCTTTAAATGACAATAAAAGCCAAACCATCAAAATATGATGTTATTAATTCATGGGTTAAACAATGTCAAATAAATGAAAATAGCATTATGGTAACAGTAATACACAAAAGAAAATCAAGATTTTAAATAACCTTAATTGACATATAAAAAAGGGAGGTTATACATATCGCTAGACAATTTAGCGCCTTGATGGTGTAAATCAGGTTAACATTTTATCTTCAGCATGGCATGTGCAATTAAATAATATTTCCATAAAACTCTCTCTGTGCTACCCTCGTCATCTCATGATTAGAATATAGACTTTCTGTACTGCTTACACTTCCAATTACCAGTAGGTGGTCATGTGAAATGAGAGAGAGAGACTCAGAGAGGGTCCACGACACAAACTAGGTCATTGCGGTACTAACATATGGTTCAATTTTATTTCAATAATTCGCTAGCGAGTAGGGGTCTTAGTAGTGGGTGGAAACTGGAGGACTCAGAAAAACCCAACGAAGTTTGACAGGCAACTGTACGTACACTTTGTTATGTACAAGTGGGGATTCAAAACAACAGAATTTATGATTTCATGTGCAAGCGTTACACAATTAGACCAGTCAACCCACCATGTGAAATGAACTTCCATCTCTAATAATAGTCTTTGCAAGGCCGTACAACAATGTAGAATACCAAATATGGTTTTAGAAGATAATCAATTATGGCATCTTACCTGCGCTACTGTCTGTTCACCTAACGGAATGTCATCATTTCTTATAGCAACTTTATGAACAATGGCAGTTGAGTCTGCTTCTAAAACAATTCTGGAAAAAAATTGTAAACATTTACATATCATAGTTTTAATTCGAAATCCGAATAACAATATACAGGAAATAAATTGTAATCTTACTGACCGTCATGTTGTTGTCAGATGAAACTGTTACATATTGGTTTTATGAATAATTTTTGCTCATTTACCATACATTCTACATAGAGAGATTACTCTTCCTGTTTGTAGAATATTAAAGAGGTTGGGTGGCCGAATGGTCTAACGTGCGCTTTATGATCATAAAATCTATCATTGAGGTAAGTGGTGTGGCTTCGATTCCCAGCTATATAGTACACAACAAGGATTAGGGCTGCCTCTCACTGCTAAAGAAAGAGAGAGAAATGGGGTTTAACGTCCACTCGACACAAACCAGGTCATTTCGGGACTAACACATGGTTCAATTTTATTTCAATAATTGGCTTGCGCATAGGGGTCTTTAGCAGTGGGAGGAAACCAGAGGACCCGGAGAAAACCCATGAGATTGGACAGGCGACCCTACTCCTTGTCACATACAACTGGGGATTCGAAACCACGCCAGTTGACTCAATGACAGGCTTTATGATGCTAACCATTCGGCCATCCACCCCCCCCCCCCCACTGCTAAAGACCCCTATGCCCAAGCGAATTATTGAAATAAAACTGCACCATATTTAGTGCCGAAATGACCCCATTTCTCTCTCTCTCTTTTAGAATAATGAAATCATTGGGTAGGTGGGTGTGGCCGTATTCTTGAAATACCATCATTTGTGCCCCACCTTATACTTGATGGTCAAAACTACCCAACATACATGACAATTTCTCAAGTCATAAACATAAACAGAACATAATTGTTCCTGGAAATAAACATCCTCTTATTAATATCAAGCCATCCCTATTACCCAATTAAAAGTAAGGAACAAGGCTATGTTAAAAATATGAATACCAAAATGTGAGCCTGGGTCCTAATATTTTCAGGTAAGTCTCATGATCCAGTTGACTCAAGATACACATAAAACCCAACAGAAAAAAAAAAAATTTCAAATCAGGTCAAATTTTTAATCCCTGGTGTAGCATTAAAAGCTTTTGCATTTTTATTACATACATCATAAGTAAAAGCTGTCAAATTTATTGTACATATATCACTTCTAATCTGTTAACTTATTCCATGGCCTCAGGGCTTATATTAAATCATGTTCAAAATCTATTTTAAAACAGACAAATGCTTCAAACTTTTCATAAAATTAAAATTTGGATGCAGCAATATGTCATAAACAATGCAATAAATAGTCCATTAACACCTAATTTAAGACCTATTTTTATGGAAATAACTGAAATTTATCTTTTTAACTTTAAGATGTTTTATTTGATTAAAGAAGCTAAATCTTTAATTCAATATCATCCACAGTCTTTGAAACTAAAAACATGAATTATTTGTCAATTTAAATCAACATTATTGATGTTGTGATCTTAGAGGGAAAAGATGGGCTTCTGATATCCAATATTTAAGACAAAATAAACATTTTACCATTAGTATACACGAATCGTGTATCATAATGCATTTCAGCACCATTAATAATAAGGGACTCGAAAAATGAGACTAGACATATTCCACAGGTCATTTCAAACGGTGACAACATATTGCATGCACAATAAATACTACCAGTGTAGACTGGAATAACCAGAGGCTAGAGATTGCCATTCGATTGAGACTTCTCGCGTATTCCGCCGAACATAACTGATTTGAAATTAGTATAAAAATGAAAACGATTGAATGTAAATCAGTTTATATACGTTCATATTACATTACTATATGCGTTGCGACCGATTTGTGTCAATTTCTAGGTCCCAAATATTAGTGATTTACCTCCTTTAAACATGTTTTAATTTTGTCCTTAAAAATGCACTAAGAAAATGGAATAATTAATTTGGTGTTCATTATGCATAAGAGTCGTGGGGGCTATTGAGCAAGGAGACCATAGGTTTGAAGTCAAGGTTGGCTGATAAATTTTTCCTGGATATTTGTGCAGGACCAAGCCCTGACAAGCTACAACATCTAGTCAATCAGATGGGACAAAATACCAAGGTCCTGTATACATGTTGATGTACATGTAAAAGAACCTTTGACAGTTGGGAGTTCAAATTAGAGCAAACTGTAGTGCCAATGTATGGGCAAAATGTTCCTGATAGCACACTGCATGGCAAATACCGTCTTTAGTAGACAAGCTGGTGAAGAAAGGGAAATGAAATAAAATGGGGTTTAACGTCCTACTGTCCTGCTCGGAACTGGTCTAATGAAAACGGGCATACGCCATACAGTGTGCTATGAGGGAAATTTTGCCCGGAGAGCGGCACTTCGGCCTACTATTATATCGAATTCCAACTGTCATGGGATCTTTTACATGCACGCCAATGTGTATATGGGAGCTCAGTTTTTCGTTCCATCCAAATGATTAGACAGCTGTCTTACTACATTTCATTTTTGTTATGTTTAGTGCAGGTTCTTTTTGATATACAAGTACATTACCTGTATACAAATATTGTAATATACTATTCAAAAAAAGTAGGGGATATTTGATTTTTAAGTGTTATTAAAGTCACCTAATGAAACTGACGAAGAAACAAATGACAAAATGAAATGAAGTTCACATTCATCGATTTATTCCAAATGATCGTTAGACTAAGTAAGGCACAGACTGACCATTATAAGGGTAAAATGATACCTGGGGTCAAACAGCAAAGTTACCACAGCATCACAACCAAGTCAGTAACGGGTAAATCCTCCTCTGTTTGCCAAAAAAGCATTGATCCGACGTGGCATACTCCTAATGAGACGTCTAAGGTCAATTTGGTCCAGATTGTCCCATTCCTGTTGCAACGCAGCAGCAAGTTCTTGGACATTGGCAGGACGTTGTTGACGTTGACGTAACCTCTGTCCAAGCATGTCCCAGACATGCTCGATGGGGGAGAGGTCGGGACTCAGTGCTGGCCAAGGTAATGTGGTGATGTTCTGTTGTTGGAGGTAACCTGTAACGATCCTGGCCCTGTGACATCTTGCGTTGTCATCCTGGAAGATGAAACGGCGGCCATGACGTCGTGCGAACGGCACAACATGGACTGCCAAGATGTTGTCCCGGTAGTACTGGCCTGTAACACGCCCTGCAACAACATGTAAAGCCGTTCTTCCAGCAACAGTGATGCCTCCCCACACCATAACAGAACCACCCCCAAATCGATCATGTCTGATGACGTTAACGTCTTGGAAGCGCTCGTTTCGACGACGCCACACCCTCCTACGTCTGTCCAAAAAATCAACAGTGAATCTTGACTCATCTGAAAACATCACATTGCTCCAGCGTCGATTATCCCAGTGTTGACGATCCCTACACCAACGACGTCTTGCCTGAATGTGATGATCTCTCAAACAAGGGATCACGCGAGGACGTCGGGCGCGAAGGTGACCCCTATGCAGTCGATTCCGAATCGTCTGGCCACTCACTCTCACACCAGTGTCTGTTTGAAGACGAGCGCTGATCTGATTTGCTGTGATGACACGATTTCTCAAGGCCAAGGTACGGATAAATCGATCCTGGGCTTGAGTTGTCGCCCTTGGTCGACCTGAGCGTGGTCTGTCCTGTACAGATTGTGTATCACGGTATCTGGACCATAGCCTGCTTATGACAGACTGAGAAACATTCATCGTCCGCGCCACAACCGCCTGTGTTGTGCCGATCTGTAGCATGCCAAGGGCACGTAACCTTTCATTTTGGGTAAGCCGACGCATATCAAAATTTGTTTTCTGGTCACTAAAACAATTAAACTGATGTTTCCACCCTGGAATTCAATGCCACAATGACTGTAACATTCAAAGTCAGAGTCGTGCAAATCTTGGGTTGGACCCCCATGATGATCCCAAGCATCACCTGCATTCCATGCGGTAGCTATTGGTGCGTCACATGTAACTGGAAATGTTTCTTCTGTTAGGTTCTATAGTGACTTTTTTCGTAGTCATTTGCATATTTTAGTATTATGCCCCCAAAATCAAATATCCCCTACTTTTTTTGAATAGTATAGCAAAAATTGAAACGACAGTACTTATTTGTGTTTTCATTTTAAAATTACCCCCTTGGCAATTCATGACAAGAACTTTCAAACTCACCCTCCATCACATATTTCATCGACAGCTAAAAACACAGCATCTAGATTTTCTAACAACGCTCGTTTTTCTACGTTTTTCCGTAAAATCTGACTAACAGCATCATACAAAGCATTTAAAACACTGGCTAAAATCAGCTTCAAAGAGAAAAGGGAAAAGAAATCATGAAATATTAATCAAAGGGATATAACTCCAGAATATTAATCTCAATATTTTGCTCTTCATATGCAACAGAGAATTACTAAAACATAGCATTCCAGGCATTACCATTTTGAAGGGTGGCTTTCAAATTTCTGAGGATCAGGGGTAATAACAATGCACATATTCAATGGACAATGCAGAATTCAGCTAGGCTTTACCAAATATTTCTGATAAGTTTGAAGATAAAGGAAACAAAATTGGAACCATGTCGCATTCAGGGTTTCTTTAAGGCTAATTAAGTACCACCACCATGCTTAGCAAAAAAATCTAAAAAGAACTCGGACCTGAATAGCGTTTGCAAAGTGTCAGTGTCAGTTTAGCTCTGCTAAAAATTATTGTTTGACTTTGAATTTTGATAGGCTTCCTCGTTAAAATGTTTACAATATAGAGACAGGATAATAAAGTTTATATCATTACAAAGTGAGCTACAATACTCTCCCTAGGGAACGTCTATGATTCCTTCTTCCAAGGACCCAGCATGTGCATTCCAGTTTAAACAGTTGTAATTATGCTTGTGCACAGTTTAAACAGCTGTAATCATGTTTGTCCAGTGATAATTCTTCAACAAATATATATATATGTATCCTTTCACACTTAAACAAACATTATGCAAGCGCTAAATCCGCCTATTGCAGGTCTTTCTTTAACTTATCTAGACCATAATCAACTCTTGATGTCTAGATATTTACTGAATTAGGATCCGATTTGCTGCTCAACTTTCATTCATGATTTAATCATGAAATGGATAATCGTGACTATGTTTTTTATCGTACCGACTTTAGTAATGATGATTGAGGCTAGGTCAAATATTCAATCTCTAAATTCTCGGTTCAGAGTGGATCAATTTGACCGTGATTTACGTGATCTAGTTTTTAACTTCTATAGTGACAACTGCCAGCTCTTTATCTAATCTCCCATAATGCATCTTTAATATAGTTTAATTCAAAAATAACATACCTCATTTTCTTGTGTTGATCCTATTACATAGAAGAATAGATCTACATTGCTTTTATAAACACACGTTAAACCTTCAAACATTATTATTTCAGCTGAAACATAAAAGTACAATACACAATAATATTATCAGAAACCATACCTTCATGGATATAATTACTATTTGCAGGATAGTAATGCTATATTTGAAATAATTAAAATTCAAGTATACAATAGATTCTAGGAAGAGGACCTTAAAGGTGGCATTATTAACAAGACATTTATATAAACAAGCACAATGAAGCCTTTAATTAAATAGGCATTATGCAAGAGCTAAATCTGCCTATTGCAGATCCTTCTTTAGGCCTTAAATGTTATATAAATTATCAATTAGACATTTATTAACATGACAAGACCATAATCAACTCTCAATGCCATCGTTAGCCTGCGATATTTAGTGGATTTGAATAAATTTTGTGATGGTTGATTTAATGTTAAAATGGATAATCAAGACATTGTGTATTATTGTACCATGGTAGTAATGCCGAGCGAGTCTAGTCTCAAATTGAATTGCTTGTATCTTGGTTCAGAGTGAAGCAATTTGACTGAAATTTTCAGCATATTCTGTTTTCATTATCTATGTTTTAACTATTATAGCGAGAACTGTCAGCTCTTTATCTAACCTTACCTAACTCTCCTTTAAATATTAATCTCTGTATTGACTCAAATTAAACAAAGCAAACAGTAAAGAGACACCCTTGCAATGCGAATGTATATAATGACGAACTATCAAATTTACAGAAAATATGCCCACAAAATAAATACCAGGTTATGTAGACAGTTCATGAGACATTAAACCTCATTCTATTCAAGAAAAAAAAAAAAAAAATATTACCATTAGCTCTGTGTGTTTTATTAAATAAATTTTTCTCAAACACTTTCTGTTCTTTTGCTGTAGGAAATGTTTCATCATAGTACTGGAATATAAAATCGAATATATACATGTATAGTCGGTCATCTACACAACTGTGTCTATATTTTATCATTTTCTATTTAGTGTCATATGGCAATGTTCACTACAGCAAAACAAGAGCTGCCAAACATGCTAACTCTAATTAGCCACTGACATTGTTTATTATCAATAAATGAAATAAAATGAAATGAAATGAAATGAAATGGGGTTTAACGTCCTACTGTTCTGCTCCTAAACTGGGCTAATGAAGACGGGCATACACCATACAGTGTGCTATGAGGGAAATTTTGCCCGGGCAGCGGCGCTACGGCCTACTCTTATATCGAATTCCAACTGCCAAGGGATCTTTTACGTGCACTATGGCCTACTCTTATATCAAGGGATCTCTTATGTGCATGCCAATGTGTACACGGGACCTCGGTTTTTCGTCCCATCCGAACGCATAGACAGCTGTCCTTGTCAGGCCCTCCGTCCTGCATCATTACTGACAAGGGGAAACCACGCCAGAAAATCTGGATGAACTTTCTCGGCCAATGCAGGGATCGAACACCCGACCTCCAGGCTAGCGAGCCAGCGTCTTACCCACTTAGCCACGTGATCCCCCTTATTATCAATAATCTGTTTTAGATAAAACCAAATAATTCAATTTGACTGATCATTAGAAATGTTGTAATACCAGAAAAATTGCTTACCTTTGCCAGTAATCGGTTTCCATCATTATCTAATATAGCCAAAGCTTTGATGCAGTAGAGAGATGGTTCCTAAAACAAACAATTTTAATATGCAATTTGGGTTTTTGATTGCAAGGAAGGACACCATCAAATGGTTTATGCAAACTACCAGTCTTAAAACATAAGCATTGACTGAAGTTGCAGATACTGATTTACGGTTTACTATGAGTATTAGGATATAAGTTTGGATAAGCTTATAGTTATACATTCGGAATCATATGCAGGCTTACATTACATAAACTATTAATCAATGGGATACGCTTAATACTGGGGTGATGGCCAATTTTATATTCTCTATTGTGCTTATTTTGATAATGCAATCATCTCATTTTGAAAATATTGTTAAAACAAACATTTTACAAGAATCATTTACATCACGTGTTTCAGCCAATCAAAAAATCATCTAGAATTACATTGATCAACAAATTTTTGAAGATAAACAAAATGACACTGTTTCCTCTGTCATTGTGCAAAAATGTGTATATTATCATGAAATTTAAAGGGATCATTCTTTTCAGCTAATTTGAGTTTGTGAAACCATTTCTGAAAACAAGCAAATGTGTATTCTTTCAATGATATTTTAGCAACTAAATAATCGAGACACTAGTGCTATAAACAATAGTCCCGAAATTACCTAGTTTGTGTCGAGTGCACGTTAAACCCCATTTCTCTCTCTCTCTCGCTATAAACAAACATCATGGCGACATGGCCGTTGTCATCGGGTACCGTATTGTAGTGGATTTAGAGTGTACATGACAAGATTTTTGCCTTGGAAAAATCGTATTTTTTCATGCACGCAAATTTTGTTTGGCTTGCGCATTGCGAGCGCTTAAGCACTTGCCAAAAATTAAGCTCTATAGCTGTTACCCAAAACACACAGCTCGAACTCTGTCAAGGTATTCATCTAATGAGAGAGAGAGAAAGAGAGAGAGAGAGACAGAGAGAGAGACAGAGAGAGATGGGGTTTAACATCCACTCGAAACAAACTAGGTCATTTCGGGACCTACACATGGTTCAATTTTATTTCAATGGGGGTCTTTAGCAGTAGGAGGAAACCGGAGGACCTGGAGAAAACACACGAGGTTCAATTAGAAGGAAAGTTATTGTGTCCCGAAAAGTGTGACAGACAGACGGGCGGATGTACGGACAGACCCATTTTAATAGTCGGCATAGTCAAGGTTACCTCTACTTACTTTAGTAACAGATTCTTATCGGCAATTTCATTGTCCAAGCGAGATTACGCATCTAATCAATGACGTCACATATATATGACGTCAATGAAAATAATTCTTACAATTTTGTTTTTGGTCTTTTTTTAATAGGTAATTTATCCAATACTCATACAATTTAGATCTAAATTAAAATCAATTTGGCAAAATGAAATCATTCAACATATTTTGCATCACTTGATAAACTTAATTATGCAGGTTTTATAATATAGAGCGAAGCTCTAAAGCACCGGTAACACAGCAGGAGCGTAACTAAAACTGTCACCACAGACTGTTGATTAAAAAAAAATTCAGACCGGAACCGGATACACTGGGCAAAAATAGCAATGCGCATGTCAACTTACCAATTCTCGCCCATGCGAGATTACACGACTCATAGAAATATTTTTATGACGCGTTTAATGAGTGACGTCACATATTTCTGACGTCAATGAAAATAATCCTCACACTTTTTTGTTCTTTTTTTTTTTAACAAAATTAATCATACGAGTTAGATCTAAATTAAATTCAATTCGGAAAAAGGAAATTATTTAACATTACTTGTGTCACTTGAGAAACTTAATTACAAAGGTTTCATATTTAACAACAATCACATCAGCTTCGCTCTACTCAGGCAAGGCCTGTTACACCTGTTACATATTATTTGACAACAATCACCTTCGCTCTACTCAGGCAATGCCTGTTACTCATTATTCATTGGGGATCACGTGGCTAAGTAGGTAAGATGCTAGCTCGCTAGCCTGGAGGTCGGGTGTTCGATCCCTGCATTGGCCGAGAAAGTTCATCCAGATTTTTCGGCGTGGTTCTCCCTTGTCAGTGATGCAGGACGGAGGGGATGACAAGGAAAGCTGTCTAGTCGTTCGGATGGGACGAAAAACCGAGGTCCCGTGTTCACATTGGCGTGCACGTAAAAGATCCCTTGGCAGTTGGAATTTGATGTAAGAGGAGGCCGTAGTGCCGCTGTCCGGGCAAAATTTCCCTCATAGCACACTGTATGGCGTATGCCTGTCTAGTCTTCATTAGCCCAGGTTAGGAGCAGAACAGTAGGACGTTAAACTCCATTTCATTTCATTTCATTACTGATTAATTTATATTATGATTAATTTATATTATGATTAATTTATATTATGATTAATTTATAGTATGGTATATAGTGTGTAACATATTTATATTACACTACAGTCTCAGTGTGTTTGTTCAAATTTTAATACATTTTCATGATTTATCGCATGGATATCAACAGAAATACATTCAGTACGACCAATAACACAATATATATTATGGAACTTTTTTTCAAAGAAAATATTAAACAAATGCAACACAAATTTCAAAGAGAAAAGATCAGTGTTTACCAATATTCCTCCGTCCATGTTGGCTTCTTTGACGTGGAAATAAAGTCTTGACAATTACCCCTAAGTACCACTAGAATTTCCAGTCAACAAACTCGGTCGATGGTTGGGCTAAAATTTGGGAATAGTTTGTTTGACTGAAATAAAAAACGCACTAACTCAAATATGATTACATCGTTTTTTGTCTATTTTGATTATTTTCCCCCAAGTTCAAATCTGACAGTTGAAGTCACAATTTTATTGAGATTTTCCTTCCAATAGCAATACCCTAAACAACGTGTTGACCTCTCTTTGCGAGTAAGGTCGTCATCTAGGGTTAAGGGTCAACGACTGACGTCATCAACTGAAAACAATGGCCGTACTAATATAAACAACTTGAATTAAGTCTGTGTCCGATGCATAAAACTGATGACAGCATAGTATCTAGTCGCTTCAGTATTTGACATTTTCATGTGGCCTCGTCCAGTCGATAAAATCAATCAGTTAGTTCAGTCGAATAATCCAGTCGAATAAACCAGTCGAAAAGTTCAGTCGAATAATTCAGTCGAATAAACAAGTCGCTCAATATTAAGCAGCGGTGGCAGCGGGCTAAGATAATATAGTAGCAAATCATGCTCGTAGCCATAGCTGAAGGAGCCGGGGGCATGGGGTAGGGACCGGGGGGCTTCCCAACTAATTTCAAGAAATGAAAAGAAATGAAATGGGGGTTCAACGTCCTTTTGTTCTGCTTGGAACTGGGCTAATGAAGACGGGCATACGCCATACACTGTGCGATGAGGGAAATTTTGCCCGGACAGCGGCACTACGGCCTACTCTTATATCGAATTCCATCTGTCAAAGGGATCTTTTACGTCCACTCCAATGTGCACACGGGACCTCGGTTTTTCGTCCCATCCGAAAGACTAGACAGCTGTCCTTGTCCGCCTCGAAAAGAATAGAGTCCCTATATATGATATGAACGAAGAAAGGGGATGGGGTGGGGCGGGGGTGGGGGGGATAAGGTATTTGACATTTTCATGTGGCCTCGTCCAGTCGATAAAACCAGTCAGTTAGTTCAGTCGAATAATCCAGTCGAATAAACCAGTCGAATAATTCAGTCGAATAAACCAGTCGAATAGTTCAGTCGAATAATTCAGTCGAATAAACAAGTCGCTCAATATTAAGCAGCGGGCTAAGATAATATGGTAGCAAATCATGCTCGTAGACATAGCTGAAGGAGCCGGGGCATGGGGTAGGGACCGGGGGGCTTCCCAACTAGTTTCAAGAAATGAAAAGAAATGAAATGGGGGTTCAACGTCCTTCTGTTCTGCTTGGAACTGGGCTAATGAAGACGGGCATACGCCATACACTGTGCTATGATGGAAATTTTGCCCGGACAGCGGCACTACGGCCTACTCTTTTATCGAATTCCATCTGTCAAGGGATCTTTTACGTCCACTCCAATATATACACGGGACCTCGGTTTTTCGTCCCATCCGAACGACCAGACAGCTGTACTTGTCCGCCTCGAAAAGAATAGAGTCCCTATATATGATATGAACGTAGAAAGGGGATGGGGTGGGGCGGGGATGAGGTATTTGACATTTTCATGTGGCCTCGTCCAGTCGATAAAACCAGTCAGTTAGTTCAGTCGAATAATCCAGTCGAATAAACCAGTCGAATAATTCAGTCGAAAAGTTCAGTCGAATAAACCAGTCGAATAGTTCAGTCGAATAATTCAGTCGAATAAACAAGTCGCTCAATATTAAGCAGCGGGCTAAGATAATATGGTAGCAAATCATGCTCGTAGACATAGCTGAAGGAGCCGGGGAATGGGGTAGGGACCGGGGGGCTTCCCAACTAGTTTCAAGAAATGAAAAGAAATGAAATGGGGGTTCAACGTCCTTCTGTTCTGCTTGGAACTGGGCTAATGAAGACGGGCATACGCCATACACTGTGCTATGATGGAAATTTTGCCCGGACAGCTGCACTACGGCCTACTCTTTTATCGAATTCCATCTGTAAAGGGATCTTTTACGTCCACTCCAATATATACACGGGACCTCGGTTTTTCGTCCCATCCGAACGACCAGACAGCTGTACTTGTCCGCCTCGAAAGGAATAGAGTCCCTATATATGATATGAACGTAGAAAGGTGATGGGGTGGGGCGGGGGATGAGGTATTTGACATTTTCATGTGGCCTCGTCCAGTCGATAAAACCAGTCAGTTAGTTCAGTCGAATAATCCAGTCGAATAAACCAGTCGAATAATTCAGTCGAAAAGTTCAGTCGAATAAACCAGTCGAATAGTTCAGTCGAATAATTCAGTCGAATAAACAAGTCGCTCAATATTAAGCAGCGGTGGCAGCGGGCTAAGATAATATAGTAGCAAATCATGCTCGTAGCCATAGCTGAAGGAGCCGGGGCATGGGGTAGGGACCGGGGGGCTTCCCAACTAGTTTCAAGAAATGAAATGGGGTTTAACGTCATTCTGTTCTGCTTGGAACTGGGCTAATGAAGACGGGCAGACGCCATAAACTGTGCGATGAGGGAAATTTTGCCCGGACAGCGGCACTACGGCCTACTCTTATATCGAATTCCATCTGTCAAAGGGATCTTTTACGTCCACTCCAATGTAGACACGGGACCTCGGTTTTTCGTCCCATCCGAAAGACTAGACAGCTGTCCTTGTCCGCCTCGAAAAGAATAGAGTCCCTATATATGATATAAACGAAGAAAGGGGATGGGGTGGGGCGGGGGTGGGGGGGGATGAGGTATTTGACATTTTCATGTGGCCTCGTCCAGTCGATAAAACCAGTCAGTTAGTTCAGTCGAATAATCCAGTCGAATAAACCAGTCGAATAATTCAGTCGAAAAGTTCAGTCGAATAAACCAGTCGAATAGTTCAGTCGAATAATTCAGTCGAATAAACAAGTCGCTCAATATTAAGCAGCGGTGGCAGCGGGCTAAGATAATATAGTAGCAAATCATGCTCGTAGCCATAGCTGAAGGAGCCGGAGGCATGGGGTAGTGACCGCGGGGCTTCCCAACTAGTTTCAAGAAATGAAAAGAAATGAAATGGGGTTTTAACGTCCTACTGTTCTGCTTGGAACTGGGCTAATGAAGACGGGCAGACGCCATACACTGTGCGATGAGGGAAATTTTGCCCGGACAGCGGCACTACGGCCTACTCTTATATCGAATTCCATCTGTCAAAGGGATCTTTTACGTCCACTCCAATGTATACACGGGACCTCGGTTTTTCGTCCCATCCGAAAGACTAGACAGCTGTCCTTGTCCGCCTCGAAAAGAATAGAGTCCCTATATATGATATAAACGAAGAAACGGATGGGGTGGGGCGGGGGTGGGGGGGGGATGAGGTATTTGACATTTTCATGTGGCATCGTCCAGTCGATAAAATCAGTCAGTTAGTTCAGTCGAATAATCCAGTCGAATAAACCAGTCGAATAATTCAGTCGAAAAGTTCAGTCGAATAAACCAGTCGAATAGTTCAGTCGAATAATTCAGTCGAATAATCCAGTCGAATAATTCAGTCGAATAAACAAGTCGCTCAATATTAAGCAGCGGTGGCAGCGGGCTAAGATAATATAGTAGCAAATCATGCTCGTAGCCATAGCTGAAGGAGCCGGGGGCATGGGGTAGGGACCGGGGGGCTTCCCAACTAGTTTCAAGAAATGAAATGGGGTTTAACGTCCTTCTGTTCTGCTTGGAACTGGGCTAATGAAGACGGGCAGACGCCATACACTGTGCGATGAGGGAAATTTTGCCCGGACAGCGGCACTACGGCCTACTCTTATATCGAATTCCATCTGTCAAAGGGATCTTTTACGTCCACTCCAATGTAGACACGGGACCTCGGTTTTTCGTCCCATCCGAAAGACTAGACAGCTGTCCTTGTCCGCCTCGAAAAGAATAGAGTCCCTATATATGATATAAACGAAGAAAGGGGATGGGGTGTGGCGGGGGTGGGGGGATGAAGTATTTGACATTTTCATGTGGCCTCGTCCAGTCGATAAAACCAGTCAGTTAGTTCAGTCGAATAATCCAGTCGAATAAACCAGTCGAATAATTCAGTCGAAAAGTTCAGTCGAATAAACCAGTCGAATAGTTCAGTCGAATAATCCAGTCGAATAATTCAGTCGAATAAACAAGTCGCTCAATATTAAGCAGCGGTGGCAGCGGGCTAAGATAATATAGTAGCAAATCATGCTCGTAGCCATAGCTGAAGGAGCCGGGGGCATGGGGTAGGGACCGGGGGGCTTCCCAACTAGTTTCAAGAAATGAAATGGGGTTTAACGTCCTTCTGTTCTGCTTGGAACTGGGCTAATGAAGACGGGCAGACGCCATACACTGTGCGATGAGGGAAATTTTGCCCGGACAGCGGCACTACGGCCTACTCTTATATCGAATTCCATCTGTCAAAGGGATCTTTTACGTCCACTCCAATGTAGACACGGGACCTCGGTTTTTCGTCCCATCCGAAAGACTAGACAGCTGTCCTTGTCCGCCTCGAAAAGAATAGAGTCCCTATATATGATATAAACGAAGAAAGGGGGTGGGGTGTGGCGGGGGTGGGGGGGATGAAGTATTTGACATTTTCATGTGGCCTCGTCCAGTCGATAAAACCAGTCAGTTAGTTCAGTCGAATAATCCAGTCGAATAAACCAGTCGAATAATTCAGTCGAAAAGTTCAGTCGAATAAACCAGTCGAATAGTTCAGTCGAATAATTCAGTCGAATAATCCAGTCGAATAATTCAGTCGAATAAACAAGTCGCTCAATATTAAGCAGCGGTGGCAGCGGGCTAAGATAATATAGTAGCAAATCATGCTCGGAGCCATAGCTGAAGGAGCCGGGGGCATGGGGTAGGGACCGGGGGGCTTCCCAACTAGTTTCAAGAAATGAAAAGAAATGAAATGGGGTTTAACGTCCTTCTGTTCTGCTTGGAACTGGGCTAATGAAGACGGGCAGACGCCATACACTGTGCGATGAGGGAAATTTTGCCCGGACAGCGGCACTACGGCCTACTCTTATATCGAATTCCATCTGTCAAAG